TTTCTATATAAAGACAAATAAACTAGCTGCAGCCTATGGAACCTGACATTCGTACATTGTCTGGGACCATTTATTTATGATGATTTTAATGTAATGCTTCTGATCCAGAGTTCCACGCATGGTATGATAATCCATACTGTCAATCAGGCGAAATTATGAATTACAGATTTAAATAATTGGTTAAAATCCATACTACTAACCTAAATTTCTAAGATAATATGTTGTATCAATTATGAATAATCTAATATTTATCATAAATTATTAAAAATAAACTTTATTTTATAAGTAAACAGTAATAATATTAACTACATGCAGCGGACGACTTTATATAGATGTGTGTGTGTGTGTGTGTGTAAGTTAAGTTCAGCGGCACAGCGAGGGTTGTATTGAACAAGGGAGAGATTGGTGTTTATGGAGGCGCCTTTAGGGTTGAAGAAAGGTGCATGGACGGCGGAGGAAGACGACCGTCTCAGAAAGTGTGTTGAGAAGTATGGAGAAGGAAAATGGCATCGAGTCCCATTTGCAGCAGGTTATGTTATACCTGTGTATATGTGTATATTTACATGTTCGCATGTATATACGCAGATAGTCAAGGAAGATATATATACATATATATATATATGAGTTAATTGATTGGATGTTGCAGGTCTAAATAGATGCAGAAAGAGTTGTAGATTGAGGTGGTTGAATTATCTGAGTCCAAATATCAACAGAGAAAAGTTCACTGTTGATGAAGTTGATCTCATGATGAGAATGCATAAGCTTCTAGGAAACAGGTAAGAACAAGACCTTCCTATACATACAAACATATAATATATATATATATATGCATAAACTTATTAGTTGTCTGCAAAGATTTTCTAAAATTTAAGTTGAAAAATCATTTTATTTATAGTAATTAATCTTATTAGGTCAAGATCAACTATGTAATTAGGTGGATAAGAGTCCGAAAATTACACTAATTTATAAAAATGTTATTTTTATTTTTCTAATTACACGATTGTTTCAAATAACTAATTTGATTTATATACCAGGATATATGTATGATGAAAACTATAACTAGATGATATTGATAATTAGAAAAATAATTACTATACACTTGCATATTACTAGGTGGTCGCTAATTGCTGGTAGGCTTCCTGGAAGAACAGCAAACGACATAAAAAATTATTAGAATACTCATTTACGAAAAAAAGATCCAAATTATTTCCTTAACAAAAATGATAGAGAATGTCTACATATTGAGAAAGTGAATGCAATAAAGCCTCAAGCTCGAGCTTTTTCCAAGAATATGGTGTTTCATGATGATAAATCTTCATTTACTAGCGATCATAATCAAGAATGCCTTGTATTGGATCAAGACAATCTTAATTTCCAGCCTTTAATGTCTTCTGTTTATCAATCTGACGACGAGACTACATGGTGGCAGAGCCTGTTAGATGATAAAACAAATGGACCACAAAACGCCTAGTAGCTCAGTAAATGCTTTTGAATCCAGCTCAAATGATTTCGTTGACAAAATTTCGACTACATGAAGTAATATGTATGGGTTGACGATAATCCTGTGGTTGCTCATGACTGAAGAAAGAAGAAAATTTTCGTATCTGGACGTCTTGGACATAGATCTTTGAAATTTC